GGGGGGGTCGTGGCAGTTTGAAGTGAGAAGTCAACTGCCAGTTAATAGACTTTTATTCCGCATGAGTATACGTTGCCCAGGGTGCACCACGTGGAGGTAAGTCTACCGCACACCCTTATTATTATTGTTTGACCAAATTATAAGCTTGCAGTTAAATTCGTGACCACAATTGATGGTTGTAATAGTGTAAGCTAATTTGAATTGGGACGTCCCTCAAATATTCATCGCCAACTTTCAATTTTTCTAAATCTACTTCCACTTAGTCTTAAATTGCCAGCAAATAGTTTAGGCATTGGGAATGCGACGTTTAAACGTCATTTTCCTCTCGGAATTTCTTTCCTTTATTTTAGATTAATTTATTTCCCAGTTGCTTACTATTGGAAAGTAGGATTCTTCTCGACGATGCTGCTAGGAGATATGTCCGCCCACCTGGTATGGCTAGACTAAAGTTAACTCGGATTAGATGTCAGAACAAGACGCAAATAATCCACCACAAAAATATTATCAAACCAAGTCATTATATTTCAGGATGTAAGTTGTCCTCATATGGTCAAGACTGGGAGACCAAAACACTGCCAGACACAACAATACGAGTCCAAAATACCTATCAAGGTGTCGTGCGTGACCTGTGCAGGTGTCCTTGTATGGCTGATGGTTGACGTAAACAACTTGGACCAATTGATCATCCCAAGGCTAGACCAACACAAGAGTTATCTTTAGAGTTACTAGTTTGTTACATTTGTACCTCAAGAAAGTACCTAAACATGGAGCGTTAGAATAGACCGATTAGTAGCTGAGAAGGATGCGAGAATGGTTTAGAAGCCAATCTTCATGACATCTGATTTTCAGATTTGCTAGGCTGTTTTCCATTTGGTTAATGTTGTTGAAATTGCTCCAAATTTATAATCACAGGATCTGTACTTGAGTGCTTATTAAACATGAATTCACTTGGTTGGTCGGTTGATTGTTTATACCATTTTAATATGTACTTTATTTGGAGAGGTGAGAATTTGGGGTAGCATTAGGCTTCCTAGCCTGCTATTTTCGGAAGTTAGTTTCTTTTTTAATATTTACGCTAATCCTAATCATTACACGCTTACCTAAATTTTTTTTTGTCAAGAATGACGGGGATGCGGAGATGCAAGTAACCTATCAACAGTCTCCACCCATAAATCGGGTAACTTGGGGAGGTAAAATTGAGTTCGTCCTCTCCTGTATCAGTTATGCTGTCGGTTTGGGAAATGTATGGAGATTTCCCTATCTCTGTCACAAGAATGGCGGAGGTAAGTGGTGGCTTTCCAACGATTTTGTTCATAATACTTAAGAGTTTTAACGACTGACATTAAAAAAAGTTTAGTTTTAAGTTGATATTCCACAGCAGGTACACATGAGGACACTGGTAGTAGTTTATTGGAATAGGCGTGGAAATAATGTGTGATGTTTGTGCTGCCACAATGCTTGAAGGCCTACATCACGCCTGACAGTTTCAAGGTTAATTTATCTGGTTGAACATATTTTTTATTTACTTACCATGGAAATAGAGAAGCTAAAGGACAAATTGGGGGCCATGAGGACCTTCACTATCTGAAATTACCGAAAGTATTTTGGAACACTGGGCTCCTTAACTAATTAACTTAACTAAGACTCTTACACATGTCACCATTGACACCTTGATAGGTATTTTGGGACTAGTATTGTTATGTCTAGCGGTGTTTAGGTCTCCCGGTGTTGGCCATATGTGGACAACTTACGTTCTACAACATACTGGCTTTGTTTGATACGTTTATGCTACGTAAATTACATCGATTCAGTCTCATGATCTCTGAATTTCCTCGCTTTCCCGTTGACCAAAACTGGGTGTTTCTTCAACTAATCTTGCCTTTAAAGATAAGTTAGACGTCTTAGCAAGAGCTTTTTTTGCGTTGGGTGACATACACTAGACACTGACTTTGGAGAATTACAATCTCTCACCACTAGCAGATGTGCTATTATCTGACATTTCTGCCACCATTTTATAGGCGCCTTTCTCGTGCCATATGTGATTATGCTTGCAATAGTCGGCCTTCCACTCTTCTTCCTTGAATTCGCCTTCGGTCAATTCGCCAGTCTCGGTCCCATCTCAATTTGGAATGTCTCGCCCCTTTTTAAGGGTAAGTGAAATTCTTTGCATAATTTTGCTTTCTTTGTTGCCAACTTCAATCTTCTGCATTCTCCACATCGTACTTATTATTTTGGTTGATTTCGGAGGTGCGGCTAGTCTTAAGGTAATCATTCGACTAAGTAGGGTAATGTTTAGTAAAAACTTGTAAGTCGGGTTTTAATTCTACTCACTTAACATGTCTGCAGTAAGTTAATCTAATCAGTGATCCAGTCCAATTTCAATTAACTTTACTCGCATTTCATGTCTGTCGCTGAGCGCAACCTTACTTAGTGCCTATCTGTTATTATGACAGCGTGTGCAATTGAAAATTCGGTCATGGATTCCAGGGAATTTCCACTAAGCCATCGATTTTCTAACTTCACCCTTCAAAGCTAAGCTAGACGTGAAGGCTAACGACAATTTGATCTCTTGAGTGGGGGGAATTTTTTGATTGATTGCCGATTTTGATAATACAGAAAATTACTTTCTACCATTCAACACCTTTGGAAGGTAAATCCATTATTCCGAATTTGGGGAGCCTTTTCCACTATTGAAATATTACTCTTTAGCACTGCGAGGGGAATTCACATATACCGTATTTTGGGTAAAAACAAAGACACTCCAAACAATCTTCCATCATCATCCTCCTCAACATGAATAAAGCGATCGATTAGAGCTTAAAAGTGCGCATTAATTCCTCCCTAGCCATTAGAGGCAATGTTGGTGGTCATACAAAATTTTCCCAATTTATATCCATGGCCAACTTGGCCATGGTGGAATTATATATGCGATGTCTTTAATTATTTCCCATTTAATTCCTAACCGATTTTACATTAATAAAAGTAGTCAAAAACCATTTTTGGCATCAAATATCTGAATTTCAACGCTATTTTCAAAACGAGAACCTTTACATTTTTACATTGCGACACAAGATAAAGGTGCACTACCAGTTGGATAAAAGATTTTATTGATATACATGCGTTTAAAAAAACAAAAACCTTATCTTGAAAGAAAGTCGTTCCTTTTAATCATCTCACTTATTTTTATGTCTGGGTCCAATTTTCGGAGTCGGTTTGTTGCAAAGATAGTCAGGCAATTCTAGATGCATTCAAATAGAACTCTTACCTCTTACTGGGATCTTCATGCGGTTTGAAGATCCCTAAATACTCCTATCAGGTTAAGGTAACCGACTCTGTCCCCTTTCTGTTTATTTTTTTTTCAGTTACGCTAAACTTTCAAAGGAATTCACCTCTAAAATCAAATTGAAATAGCGACTATTGGTGGATATGTTGCATTGGTTCGAGCTTTCCTTCTCTAGTGAATTAAAGAAGATGGTTTATGATTGACTCATTAGATAGTTTGACCGCATAGTATTGCTTACTAAATCGGTTATTGGGTTCATAGGCTATTTTCCAAATCCTGTTATGCTAATAAGCTTCCTAACCAAAGTCACCTGGTTATAGTTGGCCATTGGAAAAAACTTGTCGATAGCGCTTGCACGCCACCTGTTAATTAGTTCAAAACGTAGTCAAGGCAAGGAATTTGAATGTTGAAAACATGTGTTATTCCACTAGTTCCTATGAGAAAGTGGACCCACTAAGTCATGCAGATGACCTGAGGCCATCGCATCCTTGAACCCCCGCTCCCTTTCCACCCCCATCTCATCTCTCTTTGGAATATTGCGGAGCTCTTTTAATTGAAAATATAGCACTTAAATTTACTGTCCAGGGGTTGGTGGAACAAGGTGGCTTTCGCGATTAGAAGCCACTTTACTGCAAATGGTTCCATTATTATTATTATAACCAGGCTTGTGGGCGGTCGCCCTTCTGCTAGACTTCAGCTAACTGGGGTTTTCCGAATACCCGCACTGGGTGGTTGAACGTAAATTTTCATTTTATGAAACTATTTTTGGAACCAAATAAACGCCCACTCGAATAAGCGCGCCCACGAGAGTCTCCGAAGTGCCTTCTCTATTCCCATGTCAATTGGCTGTTGACAATAATATTAGTGAGCAAGGAATGTTTGCCTACCAGGCCTTCAGTATTATTTATTATAAAATGGCATATTGGAATCCTACTATCGACAAAGTGGTACCAAATAACGTGTGAATCCTAGAACGAGGATAATGTAATAGTGAGAACAGATCGATATAACTGTTTTTTTAAGTCCCATGTTTTATAAGGTAGATCAATGTTTGCTGTTTAGCGTTTTAGAGATAGAATTTTCATTTCTGTAGGCGCATTCCTTTCAATGCAGAAAGGTCATGTTTATTTTTTTCAAACGAATTAAGAACTAAAATGTGAATGAAATTTGAAGAAAAAAATGATTTACGGAATAAATGATTTATTGCTAGTAATTTTGATTATGCCAAATGTAGGAGGTCCGCAAGGTTTGAAATGAAATACTGATGCAAAGTAGGCGAATTTGAAAGATAAGGAATAGCGATTGGTAAATGGGGGGAAATGAATCAGAGTTAAAAGGAATTCCTAAGACACGGAAATTATGCTTTTCTTGAAGTTCCACTCAGAGTGATTGCCATTAACTCCCCCTAATCGCCTCGATCCGACCTCGTAACGCAATGTTTCACTTCCCTTTAGTGGGCTCTTGCGGAAGGGTTTTCGATTTTTCTGTGACGAAGTTGGCTTTTGTAATACTGGCACTACGATTAATGACTCCGTTTGAAGAGTTGTCGCCTTACATATGATCGACTATTGACCATCCCACCTTTCCACACATCAATTACTACAGTTTTTTTCAGCAAATTCCTCCTTGGTATTTGAATCCAACTTAAGTCCCTTACTCTTTTAAAATGTGGAGGAAAGCACCACATCACGTTACCCTCGGAGGATACGCATCCACCAACCATGGCAGTTTGCAGGAATTTATTTTGTATGACCTAGAGCTCCCGCTTGGTATGCGAGAGGTGCTGGGTTTTTGCTACCCAGGTGCTCCATATCTCTGCCACTTTGGGGCAAATGATAAGTATCATAAAGTCTACCATATGATATAGTAAAATATAGTTTGCATGACCAGAGAAATGGAATTTGGACTCTATTCAAGACCGTCCATCTCCTATACTGCCAAGCGTACTTTCTATTTTGGCCAAATTTTCGCATGGGAGAGGAAACAGGTTACTTGTACTTCACTTTCCTCAACAATTTCTTCGTCTTTTACAGACAACAATCTTCATGGGGCTATAGTGTAAGAGGTTGACCTCTGCGCGAGGCATGTATGAGCATGCATGTCTGTAAACATCTTGGGAGCTCTTGAAACATTCAATTAATGGTGTTAACGAATCGTGAATTGCCATGCCAGAGTAACCCACCACCTATTTTTTTCAAGGAGATCTGCTATGCAAATCCACTTAGACTATATCGTCTGTTGTGTTGCTTTCTTATGGCAACAATAACCTTGTAGTCACTTTGGTAATTCTCCAATTTATACTGGGTTGTTTTCACAGTGTCAAGGGATTATTGAGTCGTGATCTTAATCGTCTTGGTTTGTAGTGATTCATCATGAGAATAGTTATGCCCTTCCATGTTGCAGGTGCGTATCAGTCCTTCATTTTCGTTGTCATCGCGTACATGAATGAAGAAGTTTGACTTTTTAGGGCAGACATAGTGTTGGCGAACGTCTTTAACACATGGGCACAACCACCAATTATTTGTCTCTAAAATATGTCTGGTAGGAACAATTGATTGATTTCTCGTTTTTTTATTCACTTTTCATAAACTAACCATAAGAAAGTAACTTTCAAAATGCAAGAAAGGAACACTTGATTTCATATTTGCAGGAATGCGTTTTTCCCCAATCAGGAAATTACTTCACATCACGTTCAAACTTGAATTCACTTTAAGTATCGGCAATAATTCTGTTTGTAAATAAATTGTCTACGAAACAAATTTTCTTTATATTTTCTAATTGCTTGTTGTTCAAGGTTGAAAATTAAGGACTTTGGGACATGCTACCTAGTAGGTCAGAAGAGGTCAAAAATAAATCAAGTAATATACAATGTTGAATGGGGGGGGGGACATTTTGATTTTGAACAGAAATTTAATTATTAATTACTTTGTCACGTGACCTGACGCTAAGTGTAACCTAATGAACTAGGTAGTTGTTTTGTTCCCAAAACGCATTCCCACTCAAAAATTAACACTTATTCTTTTTTGTTGTTAAATATTTCTAAACGGTATCTTTTCTCCTGTTTAAAGCGATTTCTGAGGTATTTCAATAATAAGCCAGCTTTGATGAACATCAATAGACAGGAACATATAAATGAGTTGAATTGAATATTTTTAGTTGATTTCTCTTTACCTTATCGGTATGATCTGGTATTGTTCCCTCTAGGAGGCCGACAGAATCTTATGTTATTTAACGAATGGCTTTAATTTTCCCACACTAGGTATTGGATATGCAATGGTTGCAGTCTCTTGGATCATGTCTCTCTACTACAATGTGATTGTAGCCCAAGCACTACTCTATCTCTTCTACAGTTTCACTCGCGAACTGCCCTGGACCCACTGTAACAATACATGGAATGATCCTTCCACATGTGTCGATCAAGCGCGTAATCTTACAGAATCGTTTGCAAGTAAGCAATCTGATTGCAATTAAATTGTGACATGGGCTTGCAGAGCAAGTCCAGAAACTTTTAAACGGTGGCATGTTTGGGAAAGGGAAAGTATTTCTGATCTACTTTTTTAATTTGCGTCATCTTCAGATTAAGCGAATGAGGAGAAATCAAGTTTAGTATGTACCACTGAGATTGATTCCAAGATAAGTTTTGGAAACGCTTTACACAATTATACGCACGGTTTTAGCTGAGACAATCGGTGTCATGAGGCTTAGCACGACCCTCTTCCAATTCAGAGGTAACGATGCCAGTGTTCATCGGTGCACACCGAGGGACTTGGGTAGCTAGCCGTACTGCTTAAGTCTGTCTAACGAAAGGGAAGACAAAATTCGAACTTTGTCATAATTTGGTCCCCTCCCAATGCCTATGCAAGTTCTAATCTGGAGAGATCATTTCTTCTGGTGCGCACCCAGAGATCAGCCGCCCTGATGGGTAGTTGATTGTGGCTTTCATGCACGAGCGGTTCTGAATTACCACCTCTTTACCCAAGTCAAGTTTCATGACGCCATATTTAAATGGGTTTTGGGTCTAAGCTTGAGTCAACGCAGGGTTAGGGTGGGGTAATTAGGGACCTTTTAACCCCTTAACGACCTTAGCACCGTTCGGTCCTCTTTCAAAATAATCCCTATTTTTACCAAATGGCAGGCGTTTTGACAGTTATCATTAGCCCTTTAGTTGACTTCAGGCTTCATAGAGGGGAAGGAGCATCAAATTTAAAAAAATCGAGAGTGGGGGGGGGGGACAGAAAAGTGTTTTAAAGATGTAAAGGTGACTGACACAAAGGTAGAAAAAAGATGAGGCGAGTACTGTAGAAGTAGTCGAATATGGCATACAGTGGGGTGATAGTAGTTTGAAGTCAGAAGTCAACTGCCGATTAATGGACTTTGCCATATGAGTATACGTTGGCCAGGATGTACCACGTGGAGGTAAGTCTATCTCGCACTCCAAATAATCCCTATTGGTACCAAACTTGTAACAGAAGGCTCTATTGCCATTTGAGACATGTCCAATACGTCTATAGCTTTCGGCTGATAGCACCAAAACTCATCATGTTGGCGGCTTCAGTCTGCTATGAGACACACGTCAGCACAGTTGGATGAATTTCTCAAAAGTATAGTTCGATCGTTTAAGGGTTAAAATGCGTTGTACTTGAAATTAAACTATTGAGGTAAATGCTAAAGTTAAAATAAAAAAAACCTTTGATATTGCAATAAATTAACAGACTATCTGTTTTCTTCCTATGATAATAGAAAATCTTTTGTGGAGCTCTCCTATTTTATAGACTTTGGATTTTTTAAATTCTTCTATAGGTTAAAATTTACACAATTATTTAAGCAGCATTATTAGCTTGTTTGCAGAGGTAAAAGTACGATGGGGTGGGGTGGGAGGACTTGTAATCAATTGCAGCAAGATGTTTGTGGCAAAAAATTCTACGAGCTCTGTACTCAACGACTTTCTTTTAGCTTTGTGTATTACTAAGCCTCCGGCTCTTCCAATTCCACCCAATTCGTGGTAACTGAGTCATTCCCACTTTGCTTTCCCAGTCTGTTGGACCAATCAGCTTTCTCCCAGAAGGATGATTAATTTCCCTGTTATGGGTGATATTAACTATGAAAGCATGTCGACTTTCCTCACGCGATGACCCTTTTTCGAGAAACCAATACCTGCTCCATCCACCATTTTGAAATCAGTACTTCGATAAAATGAAATTCGTATTTATACCGGTTGGAAAGTCATTTTGAAACAATAGGTATTGTACATGGTATACAATATAATAATGAGATTCAAGTAGATAGCGTGTGGGGTGAAGAGAGAGAGAGCATGTGTATTCCAGATGGCCCATGCAGCTTGTGTACCCGTTGGCTCCTCTTTCAGGTTGGTAAGTGGTACTTAACAGGGATAGAGCATGAACGGGTGGTTAATTAATAATGCCCACTATGGGAAACAATTACCTTCATTTGAACTAATAGTTTATGTTCTAAGTCATTGAGTTATGTTTCCTTCCATGTCCTTTCTCTACTAATCTCTAACACAACATCTACTAGGTACTTAACTCACAGCTTTTTTTTTATGACAATCCATATCATAATAATTCTGGCATAACTATTGTCCAACAATAATAATTAACTTTATGAATCCCCGTAAAGTCTCCCACTCATATTCTGCCTGAATGTGAAGCTGGCCATCTGGATCTGGAGAATTAAAAGTTCAAATCCTGTGTTAATACTCACTGGCTTTAGTTGGATTCACTCTTAATTCAAACAAGCCACTATCTGAAGAGAAAAGCAAAGAAGATCACGAAATAAGTGCGGTTGGTCGGTAGGTGGTTAGATGGGTTGATTTTGTGAGATTGAATGACTCGTGGAAAAAGGTGAACACACAGTGAATTGAAAGTGTAAACATGCACGAAAATTGTTAGCATGAGTAAAGTGGAAATAAGCTTGAGTTGGCAACGTTTAGAAAATCACTCCCTATTCACGATATGGGTGTCAAATTGAATGATGGAAAGCACTAAATCCAGGGATGTATGTTTAGCTGCAAAAGCAACCCCCCCCCCTCTAATAAACTAAACTGAGTTGAGTTGGGTTGGGTTGGCTGTTTAACATAACCCCAATGCGTGTGATGAGGAATCAATTGTGTCTTCTACCAATGTTAAATACGAGATGGCAGAGAGATGAGTCAACATATACTCAATTTATACTTGCAATTTAATTGCCTTTTTTGTGAATCTAGATAGGACACTGCCAGAAAACAAGACCTTCACATCTCCTGCTGAGGACTTTTTCTAGTAAGTCGCTTTTTTAATCAATCAATTTAACTTTGAAAATAAAACGGTTCACCGATTTGTCTTTATCTGCTAATTTATTGGTATAGTAAAATTTTTTTACGAAATGAATTATTACCATTAAAATAACTCATTTCAATATTATTATTATTATTATTATATCAAATTGCAGGCGTTTTGATAGTTATCATTAGCCCTTTAGCTGACTTCAGTCCTAACAGAGGGGAAGGAACATCAAAGTGTAAAAAATTCAAGAAGGGGGGGGGAATAGAAGAGTGTATCAAAGACGAAGGTAGATAAGGTGGAAAAAAAGGTGAGGTGAGTACTGTGAAAGTAGTCGAATATGGCATACAATGGGGTGATGGTAGTTAGAAGTCAGAAGTCAACTGCCAGGTAATAGATTTTTTTTGCTGTACGAGTATACGTTGCCCAGGGTGCACCACGTGGAGGTAAGTCAGTCGCACACCCCACTAATTTCAATATAGAGATATAGATTTCTACTTAAATACGCAGCGAGATGCCCACATCTCATTAAGAATTCAATTTATAAGTTTATGTTTTAAATCCGCGAATTTAAAGGGTTGTAGAGATGATAAAGAATCTGATTCTTTTAATTAAACAAATAAATAAATAAATGTATTTCGCATTGCCTCCTAATGCCATGCTTTCAAGACCAGAAATCCCTCTTCCAGTACTTTCAATGGTGTGTGAGGTGTTCGTTTTATGAAACTGAAACACCTAAGCCGTGTATACACTCATCGAGTCGTCAGAATAAGATCCAGGAAGCGTTTATTAATTAAAATAACTCAGGTATCTGAAATTGCATTTTGGTTAAAGTTCTTGTAAGTTTATCCTCGTCTTTAGCCATGCTTGTTCATAATACTCCCATATGGAACAAGCAAACGTTGCTATTTTAACCATCGTGCCTAGAAATCAACTCACCAATCATATACCTTAAAGTTGAACATCGCAGCTATTTTAGGGCTTCAGAAACTAGTTATATTTAATCTTCAATTAATCAGTTGGCTAATCGACTAAGCACTGCCAATCAAGCCTCGAATCTGCAGAGTGTAAATGCGCTGACTTGAGCTGAAGGTGAGTAAAGGCGCACATGTTTTTGGAACGCAAGTGTCGGATCGTAGCTGGCGGGATTGAAGAGGGAGCTCAAATAAGCATGAAGTGTCACACACGCACGCCTCCTGTGTCAGTATCTTCTTCATAGCTGATAGTCTCTTCCTCAGGATAAGGAGAAGGTACTCGTAAAAGTGCTACCACTTGATTAGCTGTTACAGCCATTATGATTGGCTCGTTAAATCATATGCCACTCTGGTTCATTTTAGCGAACCCCTCCTACCTTTGAAGACTTTGTTTTGCCTCGTCTGGGTGAACGGTTTCCATCAGTAACCTATAGCTTTTCCATTACTCTTATCAATATGCAGTTTGCATGGCACTTCTGATAGCATGACAGTTAGACGGAGCAAAACTTGCTATTGGTTCTTGGTGTTTTCCCTTTTAACGACATTAATATGAAAACGAATTCAATTAATAAGATACTTCATGGTAATACTGTAGTGCTTCTCTATCTTCTTTCCCTTCTACCTTTTCTGCGTCATAGTCACAATTGAAAGTTTTTATTCAATTTTGGACTTTATCTCCCTATGTGCTTGGTGAATATTAAATATTGACGAGTTTTAAGAGGTGAGAAACAATGCACTTTCCCTTGACATGTCTTCGAATCTGACAATCTTGACTTGGTAACACACTGCTATTAAATGGTTTCACTGCGTACAATATCACCCTCTCCTGCCTGAAATTGTTTGGCCAATAATGTTGGAGATGCTGAGCTGATTACGATTCCCAAGTCAATAGAGGCAATATTTCTGTTGATCCGGGATTTTGTCCAACCATTAGCGCCTAATCATTCGTGTAGAATTTCATTGGTTTGCACTAAATCTCCTCCTTTTAATTGATTCTACACCGAGTGCTTTTTTGTCATTATTAAACAAATAAACTAAACGTCTGGAGGGTAGGGAGGTAGCTTATATGAGATAATCCTACTCGAATAGTCTTTGTTGCTTATTTTCTCGGAACTAATGGGGTGGGTGGGGTGGAGTGGGGAGG